TCTCGTTACTGGGAGGTCCCGGGTTCAAAACCAATTCGATGCGCTATTGTCCTTTAGTAAGACATTAGTCCTCATTACCAACTCCCTCGAAGATGACTTAAAGCGGGCCCCTAGTTGCTTACTTACAGGCATATACATGCTTTCTTAGCAGCCAGGTAAAACAATCATTAAACATAACAAATCAATAATTCATGCTTTATCTGGATTAAAGATTTCACGGAGGAAATAATGTGCAGAGAATACAGTAAGGAGGTGCCACGGAAGCGTGGTCTAGCTCTACCAGTGGCGCCATGGATGGGTGTGGTGCAGTTCTTTAAGTGAAGCCATGAATGTGTGATGCAGTTCTTGATGTGGCGCCACGGATGGCCGTAGTCTAGTTCTACCAGTGGCGCCACGGATGGCCGTAGTCTAGCTCTAAGTGGTGCCACGGATCTGTGATGAAGTTCTACTAGTTGCGCCACGGATGGGTGTGGTGCAGTTCTACTAGTGGCGCTACGGATGGGTGTGGTCTCATTCTACCAGTGGCGCTTTTAGTGGCGCCATGGATGCTTGATCCAGTTCTGCAAGTGGCGCCGATTAAACTTAGTCTAATAATATTCTATCGGGGACGCCATGGACGCTTAACCTACTACCGCAAGTGGCGAAAGTGACGTTTGAGAAATGCCAAGCATGTGTTGTCCACTTCTACAAGTGGCCCCATCGATGAGTGTTATCTGGTTCATGAAAGAGAATGGTCTAGTTCTGCCACTGATACAAATGACACGAGTCAGTGTGTTTGGTCCAGTTCCGCTAGAGACGTGTTGACTAGTAATGCGCCACGCATTCATATGGGTCAGTAAAACGAAATAGTGGCGTCAAGAAAATGTTTTATTCAATATCGCAATTATTGTGCAGATATATGTATATAAATTGAGAATGTGATGAAGAAATAAATTATTAAAAAAAATATTTAAAAGGTTAAAACAAAACTATGATTTGAAAAAAAATGTGTACCTAGGGATTTGCAGCTTCAATTATATCTCATATAAATGTTTATATTATAATTATATTGTTTCGTCTATTCGGCAAACCTGCATTGAGAATGTTGAATTTTTACTTTAAGAAATAAAATCGCTATGGTGGTTTTATCTTATGTTTTCCATGAATATGTCTACATATATAAAGGTCGACAAGTCACTTGAATTTCTTGGTCAAACAGCAGTAACAACTCATCAACACAATCACAGTGCTTCCTTTGTTCTTTACCGCTCTCCAACTATCTAATAACATGAGTTATCAATATTGACAAAGTCATCACCAATACCCACCTAATAAAGATTCATCTCCATAATATCATCACAATTATCATTATCACCTCTAACATTTCTTACCACTGGGTATCACTGCCCCTTCGTCACTGCTACTTTTATCACTGATCACATCCACTATCACTCATGATGCACACACAAAGAAGGAAAGATTGCACACACTTTAGATGAGAAGTGAATTTTATATTCATACTCAAAACTTCGGAATAAGTTACAGTGAAAAAAAAGAGATCACATCATTTCACAAACTGGAAACATAAATAAAATTGCATAGCGCTCTATTGATACAGAAAGTAACAATGTACATAGTCCATAAACAACAACCTGTAATTGCCAATGAACAATATTAGGAGGTTAAAAGACAACAATGGATAAACATGGCACATCAAAGCACAAGCAAAAAAAAAAGATTTATAGTGTATATTAGAAGATGAATATAAGATGCCAAGAGCTTGCTTTAGGTTTCGTTGTATGTCCAAATCATATTTTCTTATCAAAGCTTTAGCATTAAGTGAACAGTAGGTTATCAAAATTATTTATTAATTACTATTTTAATTAACAAATATATTTAATAAGTAGGAGACTCATCATGACCTCTTTACTAGGGTATATATCAATTATTTTCAATGGATAACACCAGATTATTAGCAATTTTGAAATACACCTACCCTCAGTACTTTACCACAATTACATGAAGAAAAAAGACACCACAATGTATCATTATATCAAATACGTCTTAATTTACAAGTTGAATATAGCAGAATTACGGAACTTTGGCACGATCTGTCCAAGAAAAAAACAATGTCACTTGAGAGCTAAAAGGGCATTAATTCTTCATAGATTACTCCAAGTTCATGTCCTTCTTGCTCTCAGAAGATCATATGAAAAATGTCAGCAACAAAAAAAGTTTGGTCAGCAGTTTTTATACTTGAATGACTTGTCTGGTCATTGTAATGTCTATTACAACTTCCCTTGGAATGTACTCATTACAATCTTAATTTTCATACCAATGTTTAAACCCTTTAATTGTCCAGATCAAAGGAGACATGAAAATATAGGGGTAGATATTTCTAGGAGCCAACTATGATTATTGTCCTTGAGCTATATGTGACACACACAGTGCAAATCAGGCATAATTCCATTCTCTTCTCAGATCATGGTTGTACAATACATGCTCCTACAAGAATTGCTCCACAGTCATTGTCATACACTAACTGAACTCTGAACTTCAACCTTTTAATAAACAATATACCTAACCTTAACCCTACACCTAACATAAAGCCCAATTGCAACCCCAACCCTTAACCTATACTTTTGACAATGTAACCCCTGGAACAAATGTCGGATCACCAGCTGATCATGAAAAACACCCATGTGTCTTTCACATCAAATATGCATCAGAATAAACAGTACCCTTATGCCTCTAAAATGAGAGGGACACTAAGATCCTTCTTGCTCTGAAGTTACAGTAAATCCAAATACCTTTTTATACAAAGATATATATATATTTACATGCACGGACATAACAAAGAGTATATGCAATTTTAGGCACAAGTATTCAGAGCTTTTCAATTGACGAGAAAATATTGTACACCTGAATAACATTATTTTTTTTACTTTTTACATATCTGCACGCCCCTTTTTACAAGTTTGATCAGTCATTGACAGCGAGAAAAAGGCAGGGTTTCACTCTAAGGTGGCCTAGTCAAAATATTTCTTTACTTTTACCTTGAATTCTGTTTGTTACAATATTAAAGATTACAACAAAATAAATCTCTACATCTGTTTGAGAAATAATGGAGCATTTGAATTACACAGCACTGAACGTATCTGAAAGAAATCATTCAAATCTAGAGAAGCAATTGTTGTTAATTAACAATTCAGTAAATAACAATCTAAAAGGGCAACATATCTCTATATTTTGACAAACTTGGAAGTCATGTCTTCATATTTTAAACAATTATCACACAACACATCTTCTTACAATTATTTGCTTATAAAGTTCTTCACAAACATCAATACTGGTTTTAGTTCACACACACATGTAAAGTCACACCAATGAAAAAAAATGCAGATCGTAACAAGTTTACACATTAATGAATGCAGATTGTCACAAGTTTACACATTAGAAACACTTGTTGCTATTTTTGTTTTTAAATTTACGATACTGGATCTGCATTGCATGTACATATAGAAAGTTGACAAAGAAGGCGTGATCGCTCTGTTTATTTTTGCATCTTTTTGGATGAAAAATAAAGAGAACATATTAATGCAATGAACAGTGTTTCTTAGTTTGATTGAAATCAACATAGGAAAAAAAAATGAATCATAGCACAGAAATAAAAACAACTTCAGCTGAAAGAAAATAAATACAGAATATTACAGTCAACACTAGAATGTAATGAGCACATACATATTTTGAAGAAAAATAAAGAAATATCTTTGAACATGCTTATGATATAGTAGAGCCATTGAATTACAAAATATTCATTCAAAAATGTAAGTACAATGAAAGTGTTATGTTGGTCAACATAAATATGTAAAACTTCTTAGAAATATTGTTATGAACTTAAACAACAATAAAACACATGAATATCTAGAATGGGCTACCACTTAAATATTTATCATAACACAAAAAGTCGATGATTTTCTGATGTTTATAACTAGTGGTGATATTGTCTATAACAAAATCATACCGCACCTATTTTCAATAGTTTAAACACATTCAGCCAAAAACAAAAGATTCCATTACTACTGGTTTCTAAATTACTAATCTTTATACTTGCTGGTAAACATAATGTCCTTATGTTGGTGCTTAAAGCCCCACTGTCCTACTTGCTTCCTCTGTATTATTATAGAAAACTTCCCAATCGGTGCCTGTTGGTCCCCCATGATCCTCTTTTTCTTATGTTAGTTGGGAGCTGAGTTAATGAGAGAATAATAATAATAATAATAATAATAATAATAATAATAATAATAATAATAATAATAATAATAATAATAATAATATGTCTTGTTTACCCAAGGTAGCCTCATCAGATAGCCACCTGTCAGTGACCTCACTGTGTGGTCTAATCCCTTCTGGCCCAGTAGTATTGACGGTCTTTAAAACAAAAATCAAACTAATCTAGGAATCTCCAGACAATAAATCTTTTGTTTGCTGTATGACTCCAGTATGTACTCATTTTCAACTATTTGTTTTGTATTTCAAATATGAACTGATTCTAGAAGACTTCTAACACAATAGAAAAATAGCACACATAAAGACCATTATATTTCATGTCACTTCCAGCTGTTTGTCCTAGTATTTAACATTATCTTTGTGAGAATATGATATAAAAGACAATATGTAAAAAAAAAATCAACAACAAAAACAGCCAGATGTGAAAAAACATTATATTGACAATGATTGACTCCTTTCAAAGTACTTATCGTTAATCTGGCTTCAGCTAAACTTCTATTTCATAGTTCACAGCATTAAATGAATTGTCTTTAAAGCAGTCAGATACAACCATCTAATATTAAGGCCATGGGATATAACTGCAAATAAAACAATTCCTAGGATAAGGAAACATGTGCTATTTCAGGGGTTTGAACCCTCATTCCAATTGAAAAAAAAAATAGATTTCAACTCACTCTTCCAAATTTATGGAGGAAATAAGATCTAATTGTTTCAGATTGTAATGAAGATTGTTTTTAAAGTGTTGTTACCAAGGAGAAGTGTACATTTTGAATAATCATGGTTGACAGGTGACACCGTTACTGTCCCCTGGACACAGACATTGAGAGGAGATTATCACCAATATGCTAATTCAGATCATAGATGGGGTTTTATAAAAAAAAAGCTCCCATGCAGTTATGAAAAATATGATTACTAACGAAGCTCACTCATAGTATTCAACATTTTGTTTTCCTTAAAACTACTTTATCGACCTCATTTCTAACGAGTAGTTATTGTAGCCTCAGCTCTGTGTCGAAGATGATGCTTTGAACATTAAGACTTGAAGAACTGCAAGGCAGCTTGTGTACTGTTGTCGGGGAAACGAAACTCAAGGTTGAACTTGGATGTCCCTTCCTTCTCTCTCTCTTTATCTGGAGAGGGGGGGGGGGGGAAATACAGAAGAGCATGGTAAATTTTAGGTCACAGCTGAAAAAGTTTATCAATATAATATCAGAACGAACTATCAATCACTTTAAAATTTAGTCAGTGAAAATGAATGTGAGCTAGCTGAAAAGATGATCAGTTAAAAGTTCAAAACTCCTTTTTTTGTTTCTGGTGCATCCAAAACGGGTTGACGAATGAAGAATTACCCTGTTTGATTGATGGCAAATGGAACACTTTGACAGTACAATTACACATAGATGAATTGTATGCACAAAGTGTTTCTTAATCCATTCTGGATAAAAAGAGCAAATAGTCACATAATCCCAACTCCCGCCAACTTTGCACTTTCAATATCAACCGTTATTAGATTTCCTATCTGATATAGATCTGTCACAGATCCTCAACTAGTGTGATTGGTTTCTAGGTGTACTGAAGATTATCTTAATCCATAGCATTGCGATTATTCAAATATGAAGATATAATTGGCAATCACAAAGTAAATATGAAATTACAAAATAATGACAAATACTGCCTTTGGTACATATCCAGTAAGTCAACTTTCCTTCTAAATTTCTTTCATATGACATGCACATTTTTAATTAGACAAATGAGCAATGAACGTTCGACAATTTTTTCAGAATAAACTTGATGCTCTCATTAGTGATTTGCTTGATAGTGTGAGAAAAAGAAGACAAACAAAACTGGATCAGGCATGGAAATGAGCTCTTTGTGAAAGTAACAAGAACTTCATAATGCAATTATTAACAAGAAAGATATTAAAAATTTGGTTAGAGAAATCAAGTCTACAAAAAAAGCAACATATTTCTTCAAATTCCTAACCTCACAAAACACCCTTGTAATGGGCACTTTGGGTACCGGTAAGCAATAAAATCAAAATGTGTTATAAGCCAGTGACGGTAGTGACCCATCACATATTTCAAAGAAATGCAAAATTATTGTAATTAAGATTAATCAAATTAATCAAATAAGATTAAAAGGACAAAATTAGAAATGCAATTTAAGCACTAGAAACTTTCAAGAACAGTGATTAACAACCATTTATTTACAATTGCTTCCCCCTTTCACCTACAGTCCATGCTCAAATAATGTAAGATTACAAAAAAAAGAAAGAGCTTTCAAGTGTCATCATCAAATCTTAGATGTACAGGTCCAGATTGATTTATTGCTATATATAGAAAATTAAAAAAAACATTACAAAAGATGAACAGCAAGCTGATTTCAAAAGAATTCAGACAGAATGATTTTTTCCCCTCAAATTACACACACTTCATCAAAATAAGAATGTGTGTAATGTAGAAATGCTTATACGCACTAGTAATATATATATGAAGAAAAAAAAACAGATGAACAACAAAAAGCAAAAGAAGTGCAATTGTCCAAAGAGAGAGTCTAGAATAGAATCCCAGTTTACTTAAGAACCAAAATTGATTTTCTACAGCTATGTGCAAAAAAGATTGAGTCTATCAAAATGCATTTGGTATGATAAATAAAGCTGGGTATGAATAAATTGAAGTAAAAGTATAAGACAAGAAATAAACCCACTTGTTGATTGTACATCCCCATCAAGCCATTCTACAACTTCAAACTATACCCTCCCTTCCAATAAAGCCTAAGTGCATTTTTATTTCACTCTTGTATGATTTGACAAGCAGGGCTGTCGCTCCAAAAGGGCAGTCACGGACGGAGGCTCTGATTTATGCCCAGTGTCACGCTAGAATTGCATCAAGGATAAAAGACACATAGCATCTTCTAATGGATTACTTGAGCAGTCTATCTGCATACTAAACAGGAGGTTCTACATTGAGTAATCAACATGCCCCCACAATAATATACTCAGAAAGGGGGAATATATATAGATACAGGTAGACAGATAGGGAGTGAAAGAGAGAGAGAGAGAGAGAGAGAGAGAGAGAGAGAGAGGGGGGGGGAGATAAGGGGAGAGAGATTGCATATTTTCAATTGATCTGTGCACTTAACCTGGAATAGAAACACATCATACATGCAGTTGAAATTCACCTAATTTGACGTACACCTGTCCATATTTATTGTTTGTCTTTCCAGAAAATCAAAATTTTAAATACAAACAAATCTCAATTTAGCTACATTTTGAACCATTGCTCCAGAAGTTATCAATTTTACAGCCCTTCAGCATCATAAGTAAAAACAAACCATCTACCAAGCGTAAATATTTAATTCTCAAAAAGAATTAAACGCTGATAATACCAAATAACAACAACAACCAGTTGGCAAAAAGCTGTTTCATGTGCTCATTTCTACCTGGCATTGGCTGACAATGGTCAATTTCTACAACTAAAAGATCACAAAACAAAACAAAACAAAAATGGCATGTTGGCCCTTTGTTTGCAGACAATTCATCCCTCTTGGCACTTTATGCATCAAAACTACATGCTTGTTCATGATAGGAATATGCATACCACCAATCCTCTGACTGGCCTGGCTAGCATATCCATGACTGAATCAACCTCAATCTGTGCACATGGTCATAACAAAAGAATTGCAATGGGCAAACTGTTTGAAAATTTATTCAGCAAAGACGATGCAAAGAGATTATACCCTACAAAACCGCTACAGACCTATAGCGACTTGAAAAGAGGACAAAGTGATGGGATATGAGAAGCAAAAAAAAAGTTAGTGCAGCAACACCGAGAGTCCCAGTGGGACCAGCCACGAATGGACGATGGGGGAAACCGGGCACCGCCAATCGGTGAAAGTGATAGGGAAGGGCAAGAACATCTTTGTTTGTTCGGCGATGCTGTTCTATTCAGTCGAGGGGGGGCACTTTGATCAAATAGGAATTAAATTCTGGGCAAACAGGCTATGCGGATTGGCTGGCTGGGGGCACCTGCCAATGCCCATACACGATTTCACACATTATTTCTCCATCTCTCTCTCAGATCTGCCTCTTTCCTTCTTTAGTTTTCTATCTTAATTAGTCTTTCAGTATGCTCACACCTCATCCTATATATATTATGCAATTAATTTTACACAAAGTTTTAATTCCAGAAATTCCTCATCTGGATGATTTTTTCTCCTTGATAAAAAAAAGCAATGGTTTATTTAGTTTAAATTTGTACCTCAATATTTATTATCAACAGCAATACTATTAAAAAGCAACGCCTTTACCTTACCATGGAAAACATTTGATGTAATGATAAAGAGAAAGATAGAGAAAGAAGAGGTGTGGGGAAGTTGACAAAAGTGAGATAGGGATGAAATAAGAGAAAGTAAGAGATAAAAATAAACAGAAAGAGAAAGCGAGAGAGGGGAAAAAAAAGAAGGGAGCAACAGAGAAATGGAATAAGAGAGAGAGAGAGAAACAGAAAGAGGTTAAAAAATATGAATATTGTATGCACATGTAGAGCCTGATGCCTGAAGAAGACAAATCCCAGATAATAGAATCTCCTATCCCAGTTTGTGGAGATCATTTATCACCTACTTTTAGCGGTGCAGGACGTCTGGCAGGGATTGGGTTACTTGGATCCTGGCAGGATTGGCACTCATCAAGTGAGATTTGTAGGGTGATGATGACCAAAACGATGCAAACCCATCGGTGTCAAACACTGATTCATTGTGCTACTTCACATTACACGCTTGACAGCTCCGTCTCGGTGTAGGAGCACGGTTAGGTCTGGGAGAGGGAGTGTGGCACAAGTGTCTTGTCTTTCAATTACAAACTACAAATACAGGCTTGAGAGAGAAATGGTTTTTCCTGCAAGTTGGTATCCAGGTCTACACTACAGGTTTCATAGACTCTAATATCTAACATCAATCCATACCGTATATACAAATGTACAATTAACATTTATTTGTCTAATTATTCATTTTTTTTCTTTCTATTTCTTTTTCTCTATTTGCCTTTCATTTCGATATTTGTTTATTTCCTTCTTTCCCTCCTTTTTTTCTGATTTCTTTTGCTTTCTCTTTCTTTCTCTCTTGTCTTTGTTTCCTTTTTTTCTTATTATAGTCTCTTTCTCTTTCCTTTTAGTTTATATATCTCTCTCTCTCTCTATTTTATCTTTCTTTCTAACTCTCTGTCCCATTTTTTTCTCTCTATAATCTCTTGTATATCTTCATCAACTTAGTTCCACTCTGTTTCCTTGTAGGGGCGTATCCTAATACTATCACACATACACATACACTAGGTACCACACTAGTTCCAAAAGGACTTTGTGAATTTCCTAAATCTAATGCCCTTGTGTCTCTCAACTAATGACTTTTGAAAGTTCAAGTGTAATATATCAGCAAGGAAGCCCAAACACAATCAACCTTACAAGGGTAACAGTTGGATAGCGGGTAGCTACCGACCGAGTAGCCATATTTGCTCTGGACTCATTCAGCCCCTACGACTCCAAGTGGGTACCTGCCAAGACTCCAAAGTACACTAATTGAGCCATAATGCACATAACATTTGGTCGTTTCCTACTGGTAGGAAAGATCAAGGTCGGTGCTAAGAGAACTTGGATTTGAAATATGTCAGAACTAATTAAACATTGTCATGAAAACTTCACGACTGTCACCACACTTGCACATCCTAATAATCTTATGATATGACCGCACTTTCAACAACAAAACATAATAATATGGTAGCCAGAACAAGCTTGAATAGAAAACCAAAGCAGGGTTACTTGTAAATCCAATTTGTGCTCGTAGTAGAGCAAAAATAGGGAGCATTGCAAAAACTGATGCTGATCTTGATTGAAAATATGTGTTCATTTTGTTTTTATTAAGCATGTGGTACCGGTAATTACTATAATTACTTTTCATATTCATTCAATCTTTCAACTTGGTGCCCATGATCAAAAAGTGAGATACAGGTATTACTGGCAGGTTGTATTTGCTTTGGAAACCGTGCACCACTGGTTTTTGAAATACAATCAATGCTGGAAAAAAGAGGTTTGTTGAAATACCAGCTCATGGTAGCATATGGCTAGAGCTAACATTCACT